GGTGTGCCTTACGACTTCCTGGTAATTTTACCACATAGTTGGTGTCAGACAATTTTCGAGTAATCTCGGCCGGGCCGACCCATTGCCCTTCAAGCTTATTCTTTTGGGAGGGCCTCAACAACATGACCCTGTCTCCTACAGCAAAGTGTCGCGCTTTAGCTGTCCGATCGTAGTAAAGCTTAGCCTTCTGCTGTGCTTTAGTCATCGCACTCTCGGTCAGTTCTTGGGCTTTTGTTAGACGATCCAATAAGGTGAGGACATATTCCACTACTACAGGATCATCACCCTGACCTTCCCACGACTCTCTCAGCATACGAAGAGGAGACCGCAGTCTGCGGCCGTAAACAAGTTCCGCTGGCGTAAACCCTGTTGTCTCATGTGGTGCAGTTCTTAGTGCAAACATCGTTGCAGGTAAGCACATTTCCCAGTCAGTTTTTCGTTCAAAACATAAGGCTCTTAACACTCGCTTCATCACGGAGTGAAGCTTTTCTATAGAGTTCGACTGCGGATGGTAGACTGAACTATGCAATAATTTCACGCCACACCGCTCTAGAAAGGTTGTCGTTAAGGCACTCGTGAAAATGGTGCCCTGGTCTGATTGTATCTCGGCAGGAAAGCCTACCCGGGCAAACACGGACAGAAGTGCGTTCACTACTTCCACGGAACTTAGCTCTTTTAGCGGGACCGCCTCTGGAAATTTAGTAGCTGGGCAGATTAAGGTCAGGATGTGACGGTAGCCTGAAGTTGTCTTGGGCAAAGGACCTACTGTGTCAATTACCAACCGACGAAAGGGCTCTGTGATTACGGGTACCAGCTTCATTGGAAATTTCGCCTTATCTCCCGGCTTACCCACTCGCTGACACACATCGCAAGATTTTACAAACCTCTCTACATCTTTAAAGCATCCAGGCCAGTAGTATTCCTGTAAAAGACGATTTTTCGTCTTCTTTACGCCTAAGTGGCCTGACCATGATTCTCCATGCACCAAACTAAGCAAATCCTGACGATACGCCTGAGGTACGACTACCTGGTCAAATTCTACTCCTCGCCTATCTAGATATTTTCGATAGAGTATGCCGCTCCTCTCTTGGAATATCACATTTCGTTTGGCGATTCCCTCTTTCGAACTGTCCTGGAATTGCTTAAGCGTCGGGTCCCCCTTTTGTTCGGTTATTAATGAAGCGGAGCTCACCTTCAGCAGCCGACTGAAATTATCCGAAGTTGGCATGACACACAACTCTTTTGTAGTTCCTAGTACCTGGAATGTGTCACCCTCTGTGCTATCCTCTATACTACCAGGAATCGGCTTGGGAGCAATGGCATTCTCGATTTGCTCGGTCAACGAGGCGTAATTGACCCCTTCCAATTCGGGAGGAGGTTCAACGTCGCCTTTAGGAACGGTTGCCTCCGCGACTACGGCTTCTGCAGCCTGTTCTCGCACAAGTCGATATGTTTCCGTGGTGTCCAACTCGCAACCAGGCCCGTTGTCGATTTGAGGCTTGTTTGCCTCAGTGAATGTTGCTCTCGCAGCCAGCGCACGTGCCTTTGATCTAGTCAGTGCCTGCACTATGCCTTCTCCCAACGTTAGACCTTTCTCCTTCAGCATTTGATCTGACTTATTTGAAAATAAGTAAGGATACTGAGGGGGTAGATATGGCGATACCGCGGCTTCTGTTTCCAATGTTCCAAAGGCGCCTTTAAGGACAACTTTAGCTACGGGAAGGCACTGACTGTTTGCTTCTACGGCTTGTCTAATCCAGGCACAGTCTCCTGAATACTGTCCGGACTGAACAAAAGACGGATGAACTACGTCCATAGTGGCTGCGGAGTCTCTAAGAACCCGACACTGCTTGCCGTTCACGGTAAGGTCGTAAATATAGGGCTCTAACAACTTCATGTTCTCGTCGGCTTCATTTATAGATAAAAAGGCCACCTTTTCTTTCGGGCAATGTTTCGCGAAGTGCCCTGTTTCGTGGCAATTGAAACAAGCCGCCGTTTTTTTTTGCCTCAAATTTCCTTTTGCTTGCCTCTGCCGACGCCTCCTGGTTAGATGCCTTGTTTTCTTCACCCTTTTGTGCGAGACTTGTCGGTTGTTTTCTAAACGGCTCCTTATTCGGCCGTAGGAATTTTTCCCTTTTAGGCTCGCTGTTTGCCCCGAGGGCGCGGCGCGTAACGAATTCTTCCGCGAGCTCTGCGGCTTTTGTTACGGTGTTCACGTCTGGTCTATCCTTAACCCAGAACCTCACCTTTTCTGGTAACCTTTGATAGAATTGTTCCAGACCGATACACTCGAGCACCTTGTCATGATTCCCATACGCCTTTGCCTCTTTCAGCCACTCCCCCATGTTGGCCATTAACTTGTAAGCAAACTCCGGGTATGAATCATTGCTCTCTTTTACGGCGTTGCGAAATTTTTGTCTGAAACCTTCCGCTGACAACCTGTATTTCTTGAGAAGGCTCGACTTTACCTCACTGTACTCGTCAGCCTCCTCTTTCGTGAGGCGCGCGATTACTTCTGAGGCCTCCCCCGGAAGTAGGGACAACAAGCGTTGAGACCATGTATCCTGGCTGAAACCTTGCCTTTCACAAGTTCTCTCAAAGTTGACGAGGAACAGCCCAATGTCCTCCCCTAGCTTGTACGATCTCATTAGGTCCGTCATTTTGAACCTGACCCGCTCTGCTGTACCGGATGCCTCGCTGCCTCCTGCTCTACTATTATGGCTAATCTCTAAATCGAGGCGCTTCATTTCAAGCTCGTGCTTTCGCATCTTATCTGCTTCGGCTTCTGCCGCTTTCCTTTCGGCCTCCGCCGCCTTTTCTTCGGCCTCGGCCGCCTTTCTTTCGGCCTCTGCCGCTTGCCTCTCCTGAATCTTCTCGACACATTCTGACAGCTCGTCATCCTCCGCCCCCAATGCGAGAATCGCCTCTATCAGCTCTGGCTTTCTTTGAGAGTCCGACACCTCCAGATTCAACTCCCTTGCAAGTAGCAACAACATGGACTTTCGCAGGGATTTCAGATTCATGGCTGCCTCCAGTACCGCTGTCTCTGTTCCACAAAGATTCCTGTCCTGCAACTAATTAACCTTGACGGCAACGACAGCTCTAGGTTCCTGCCTTGCCTCAAGTTTTCCGTTAACTTAGTCTACAAATAAAGCTTCAAAAAGCTCTTATACGGAATCCTGCCCTGCCAATGTTAACCTTGACGCCACTGACAGAAAGAGCTTAACCAAGCTATCACACAATTTCCGCCTGACGCAAGTTACCTGTTAACACAATGACCAAGACAGCCCCTCTCTACCAGCTCTTACTTAACACATAGAGTAAATGCCTGGTAAAATTTAACAGAGAAAGCCGGCACTCACCCAGTTCGCAGTCATGTCTCCGGCGTCGTGCCTCTCAGAAGTGCCGTTCGATTCCCTTTGGAAGTCGATGAGCTCGTGTAATCCTTCTCCTGTCGTCCCGTTGTTGAACTTCGGGCTCACTCCGTCCAGTGGTCGCTTTCGGGGTTATCAGCATCCCGCCGCTGCCATCCAGTTGTTGGGACTCCGGGTCCTGCCGGTCTCGTTTTCGGTAGCTGGCCCCGTCGCAGGATCCATCGTCCAACAATTCAGCGAGAAGAAGCGCCCGAACGAACAACAGAGATTTATTTACATGTGCAGAAGTGGTCAACTGACTCAAAGAGAGAAGAGTGAGTGTGATACAAAACGTCTTCGGCATTTTATAGCGCCGCGCCGTTGACACTGGGCGCCCCGTCCGCATCGTCAGCCAATACGGTGTCTCCGGCCCCTCGGCCACGAGAGAGGGGGAAACACACCTCACAACACATGGAGTGGCACATCCCAACACGAGGTCCATATATGGTCACGGTGCCCTAAAATGTTACCAAACATGGTCACGAACGCACAGCAGACCCCGGAGCTCTCCCGGCGAGGAGGAACCCGAATGGGGAGGTGGGGGTGGACGACACCGTCAGGTCAAGAACCGGTTCTCCCCCAACCTCTTCCTGCTTGGCTCCCCAGGGCCGGTCGTAACAATACATACATACATACATACATACATACATACATACATACATACATACATACATACATACATACATACATACATACATACATACATACGAGAAGTCCTTATGTGCTTCCTTTGGAAGGAGTGATTTGAAAACGTTTGGCCCCTGAGAGGAAAGGCAGGCAATAAGCTCTGCTTAGAAGCTCATCTTCGGAGTCATGGTGGGAGGAGGAGTCACGGTAAGATAGGAAAAGTAGCATTGACCGGTCTTGTCTCAGGGACGGGCAAGTAACACTGACCTTGCGCTCTCCATCTGCCATGCAGGCCGTTATCGCGAATCTCGGAAAACCGTAAAGCAGCCACGTCCAGGTCGAATCGTTTCCACTCTATACTTGACTGCTCCAGGACACTGTCTTCCGAGACAAGAAACGGTGCATGTGCATTTGAGGGAGCGAGCATTGTTTACACCTGTACCGCTAAACATCTTCACGCTGCACGATTTAGTGACGGCAGTCCCGTGAGTTCGGGGCAAGGAAGCCACCTCCGTGTGTACATACACGGCCACTCGTACACGCGCGTTCCGACGCTTCCGCAACGGGTCGTGCCGGAACAAACGCCGTTTCTAGGGCCGCTGCCGTGCCGCCCACCCTTTGGGGTGTCCGAACGATGGGCTTCTCGGACTTTGCCGTGCGTACACGAGGGGGGCCAGCCATCCCGGCCAGCCGTGCGCAAGCCGTGTGCGGTGGTGGGTGCGCGGGGCTTCATCGCCGGTGCCGGCCTGCTGCCGCTGCGCCAGCGGTCGCGCAACAAACCGGTTCTCGTCGCGGCGCTCTTTTTTCCCCTCGATTGGAAGAGGCTAGCAAAAATCATGGTTGGACCGAGGGCAGCGTTGGTGGTGAGAGGGGTGAACAAAGTAAAGGATGCCCGGTGTGGCGAGGGCTGGCGAAAAAAAAAAGGAAGGGTCGGAAGAGTCGGGCCGTTCGTCGGGTCGGCTTTGGTAGAGCCGCTGCGCTCCTGGTAGGTCCCCGTGCTCCGTTGTTCCAAGAGCGAGATCGTCCCAGCTGTCGCCCGTGCATCGTCCGTCGCCTACGCGTGCTCTCCGAACGGCGCTGGTCCGTTTGGGTGCGTGAAGTGCGCCTCGTGCCGGAAGGAACCGGGTGTGCACTGACACCCCTCCGTGTGAAGTGTGGTGTTGCTGTGACGGCGCTCGCTCGCAGTGACCGCTCGCTCCCCAGCCTAGGGACTCACTGGGGCTGCGGCGAACGCAAAGGATACGCGCTGGTGCTCCGGAGACCTCGCGACCTCCGAAACACGTTGCCCCCTGCGGTGAGCACATTCATTTCGCCCAGTGGCCAATTTACTCTCGCCGTATTCTGCTCTTTGTTTTCTTCAGTGGGTGCCCAGATATAACAGAGTGCTTGCGATTGAGGCGCGACTGAAAGTTGTACTTCCCGAAACGGGTGGTGATTCTCCGTTTAATCATTTTCCGCACCTTTGTCGGTGTGACTTTTATTTTCTTGTCTCTCGTATCGTGCGCTCAGACTTTGATGCTTCCAAGTCTAAACGCACGACTGAGATATAACAAGAGTACAAAAAAAGTAACCAGAAGCATACAATGCTTAGCCCCCATTATTTATGGATTCTTCGAGCCTTCGAGGTGCTGCGTGGTGATCAGAGTTGTACGGGGATCTATACGCAGTTTATGAACGAGGCCGACGTCGTTCACTTGCCAAGCTGGCACGGCGCCGGTGTGCATTGCCGGTCCGTGAGGTTACGCTTCACGCTGTCGCTGCATGTGTGCGGCCTTCGAACCTTTACGAGGGCACAATGATCCGCGCTTCAACGACACTTTCTTTCACCTTTGCAGGTTAAGCTGTTCTGTTCTAGATGTCTTGCTCTCGAGAGGCTATGGAATACATTCTTATGTCTACTCCGTTTCCATGATTTTTGCTGCACGAAGGTAATAAATTAATAAGAGGGGAGGGCACCCATACACAAAACGAACAACTAAACAAGAAACAAGTGTTAAACTTAAAATACCATGGCAATAGACAATTCGCTTGAAGGAGTTCAATTCTTCTCAAAAGACTTCTCAGTGTACACAGCCCTATACAAGCGCTTGCGATGAACATTTACGAGCAGCTATACCATTCGAAGGGATGTGTCAGTCCAAATGTATAGTGAGTAGAACTTATAAACGTGTGCCTGTTGACAATCTATTGCATACCAAATCACTTTTACAAATTAAGTCATTACTCCTCGTGGGATATATTGCTGATGACAAATAATGATAGCAAATAAAAGACTACAACTCTAAATTCTGGGTCGTCTTTAGCGAAAGAGGTTGTGCTGAATCCCCAACGAGCCCACCGTCTGCTCAGTACAGGGAAGATGAAAGTGAAGGTTGACCAGTTCAGTTCACGGATGCGAGGATGGCGTCGTGGCATAGTTTTCTGCAGTCTGCGCACGTAGCCATCCGCCTTTCCCAGTACAGACGCCGTCTCGTTCGGAGCTTTGCATACGCGGCTCTGAACGCGGATTTGCTGGTTACTGGGGCAGCTGGCCTGTGTGCCGTTCCTTTAAAGAAGAACCGGGACTGCTCTTGTTCTATCCGAGCGCGTTCAGATATCCCGCCTTTGTACTTCAATTGATGCCGCATTTGTACTCGCATAAATTTAGACACCTTCGGAAGAAACCACACGTGTTTTTGAGTGGATGATGTTACCGGTTGAGCGCAGAAATGAGCGGTAAAACTTAAAAATTGCCTGTTAAATTGCAGCAAAAAGGATAGTTGGGTTATGGTGGGTTTGCGTTCATATTAGAACAGCGCAAAAGGTCGAAACACGGAAAAAAAAATTTGACAACACAAGCGCTGACTTACAACTGGTTGCTTTATTCAAGCGAGGCAGAGAAATAAAGGGAAAAAAGAAGAATAAAGCATGCGCGCACAAACGATGCAGCCACTCGTCATGTCAGCGCTCGTGTTGTATTTCTCTGTGCTTCGTCTTTTGCACTGTTACAATGTGAATGCCTGCTCAATTACCACGTTAACGTTGCTCAAGCTTCATCACGAAGATTGAAAGAGTATATTGAAATTCATACGTATAGTTGCTTCTTCACTCGCATTTTACGGAAAGGAAGCAGAAAGGTTCCGCCTTAAACCACGCACTGTGGGAGTCAGTATTATGCGAAGCAGTCTACGAGAATGCCGTCTACGCCGCATCGTTAGACGTTGAGCCGAGCGTCACGTGAAGACCCGGCATTCTTTGTAAATCGAGTGGTTGTGCACGTGACGGGAGAGTACCGGCCACGCAAACAACGCCTATATATGCAGCGCTCGCGTGTGACTGATGACGATGTTGGGTGCACGTTAAAGAACCCCAGGTGGTCTAAATTTCCGGAGCCCTCCACTACGGCGTCTCTCATAATCATATAGTGGTTTTGGGACGTTAAACCCCACATATCAATCAATCCGATGACGATGCATGGTTATACGCGTTGCCCGCCGTGATCAGCGTTCGTCGACGTGTTCTGAAGGGGTCGAGCAACGCTTGACTGTAATGATGGCTTCATATTTTGCTCCATTGAAGTACAGTGATCAAGAACACTGCGTGTGGTGGTACAGCTCGCACCTCGATGAAGTATAAGTGTCAAATGAGACCGACGGCAAACAGCCAGTGTTGTGAAAACGCGCCTATCTTCTAAATGTGCTGGATTGCGCGATCGATATCCTCCAGGAGACCATTAACGCTGTATAAGAAATGCGGCAAGCGTCACAATGGGCGTCCTTGCTCGAGGAACATTCTTAAAGGTGTTTCATTCCTAGTGATGACACATGCATGCTCCTTAGGTGTAGTAGGTTAGGACATTGGGTTACCGTATACATGGAGGCGCCAAACGACACTATAGGAAGAGGTATACGTCACTGGAGAGTGGGTGTGAGCCATGTATTTAGTCTATCATCATCATCATCATCATCATCATCATCATCATCATCATAATCATCATAATCACCACAACCGCCATCATGATCATCATAATGATCATCAGGAGGGCTGCCTTCTCTGCGTTGCTCGTTGATCTGTCGTCAGGGGCTCTGGGAATATACACCAATGTCGCCCTCATACTTCAGATGTATACTTCTGGAGCCCCTATCTGGCATGCTCATTTTTAAAATAATACATTTCGAACTCGTCCAACAGTTTATTCTGACGGCCCTCCCAAGTTCAGATCTAATCGCAGACGTTTTTGATTATGCTTGTTTATTTGCATATTTATTTATTTGCGTCACGGCTTCAGCGGCTAGATAATAATTGTTGGGGATTTACGTTCCAAAACTACGATATGTTTATGAAGCACGCCGCATGAAGGCTCCGGAAATTTCGACGCTTTGATGTTCTTTAACGAGCATGTGGCTCGATGTATACGGTCAAGTCGTCTTTTGTTCACAAAGAAGTGCATCATATTCAGAAAAAAACATACAAACAAACGTAGTGTGCAGTGACTTCTACAGATTCGTCCCTACAATCGTATGTTTGGGGTGAAATGCCAGAAAGCTGCTAATAGACATATGTTACTTCTACCAATGTGTGTAGTTCGACTGCTATTGTTATTGTATGCAGTTCAGTTGAAAAACAACACACGAAGTCGTGAGGTATATAGCATATAGAGTAGTAGAAAGTTGAGTGTTTTGGTTGTTCCTGTTCTTATTTTTTCTTAAAGCGCGACAATACAGGACGAAGAGAGAAGTGATGCCCCGAGCTAGACTTTGTCTTCCATCAAGTCCCGTTTTCTTTTCATAGTGGTGCAATAACAAAAAAAAAAGTGGGTTGTAAGTGGATAAACGATACATTGTCAGTTTACCTCAAAACGAATCCTTCAGCTTGTTGTTTCAATGGATTTCACCAACCCTTCATGCGAAGACGCGCACGAAACAGCGCGAAAAAACTTCAGGCCTGCGTGGAAGGCGCAGCACAGTCGCAGCGAAAGCTAGAAGAGCCGCCTTTCAGAGCGTTTTCAAAACACTCGTTCTTCTTGTTCTTGTTCACCTATTGTCCGTGGCACATACCCACTGGGGGATATGCCAAGAATTGAGTGGTTTTAAAAATGATTGTTCAGATTTAGAATAATGGAGATATTATAGAAAGATTACCGATGACCCAGAAAATTGTGGCGCTTGATTTAATGCACATAATAATTTAAATAAAGAAACGAATTTATTCTTAAGATAGAGCAATAATCTGATTTTTATAGATATATAATTTGTAGACACGTTAGGATATTAAAACAAATTAATTAGTGAACCTATTAGTTTCATTAACGCAGTCCCGGATGGCCGCGCATACTCATTGGGGTAACTACTGCAAGCACACTTGCTTGATACCCACTAGGGCATAGTAATAAACTTCTGGGTAGCAGGTCCACATTCGCTATGCTATTTTTCGTCATTCTTCTGAGAAGCGTGGTATCCGCTAAATACTTGCAAATAATTTCGTGCCAATTGTTCATGCAGTGGCTGACGACGATGAGGAATTATGCTCCACAGTTAATAGGGGAACAAGATCAAGCTTTCGTAATGGGTTCGAGCATCGGACGGCCCACTCGTTACGCTATTCGCATTGTGCGACGAGTGGTTGTTCTTTCGCCGTTTTAAAACGCTTTATACGTCGTATTAACGCGATTGCTTTCCCGACATCAGGCCTATGCCTAAACAAGTTTGCCAACGAGTCACTTGCACCGGCGTAGCTCAGTGGTAGAATACTTGGCTGGCACCCAGCAGACCCAGGTTCTAGCCCCACTGTGTCATTGGTACTAGGGTTGTTTTTTCTGCATCTAAATTTCGCGTGATGTGGTTACGGGCACCGGTGGCGGCGGTACACAGCGCGTGACCCGAGTTGTGATCTCACAACAGCTTTCGCTGTAATAAAAGTGGTTACGCCACACCTGTCAGTATTGAGGCACACGAGTTTACACAATGGAGTGAGTGACATCACTTAATGCTGCAATGGTATTATTAAACAAGCAGCACGCGCAATGCCCATAACCTCTCTTCCTCTCAAAAGCCTCGCACATGTACGCTAATTCGAAAGAGCTCGTTTTAAATGAAACTGATATCATTTGAGGTGGCTGGCTGACGCAGGATTCTCACCGGTTGATGTCTTGTGAGCCTGATCGAGTGTACTGAGAGATGGCCATGGTGTTGGTAAGCCTAGGGAGAGTGTCAATGTACGTGGTATATAGTGTTCAGTCTGTCATAATTGAAAGCCAGAGGGCAAATGTGCCTCTTATCCTTTCCGTATACAAACAAGCTGAGTAGGATGACGAAT